CATGAAAAAAGAGTTAGGGAGAAGAAAACATACCCGTCACCACATCAGGTGCGGCACACGCCTCCTCGGAGGTCAGCTGGAATTCTCGGCTCCTCGCCACTGGAGCATCTGACTTGCCCTGTCGGCAATCTGTGATCCGCAGGGTCACTGGGGCTGGCGCCGCCACTGGCCCTGCTGCTGTCAATCTTGGGCAGTTGGCCTTTTTATGGCCCTTCTGATTACAATGAAAGAAAATTAGGTATGGTGTCTGGAAGGTGGGGGTAGGGGCAGTACATCCCTGCCCAAGTGCCCAATCTTGCCGCACTTGTAGCAGCCCGATGACCATAGTCTACAAACCCCCTCATGTGGCCTGCCGCATTTCCTACAGCGGCTCCGGTCTGGCTGGCCCTTTGACCTCGAGTCGACTCCCTTGGGTTTCTTCCCTGAAACTCCAGTACCCTGCTCAATCTCCGCCTTCCTCTTCCTGATGTGCTCTATGTCAATCTCCCTCTCTCTCGCCCCCGCAATCATATCATCTAGTGTCGGACAGGCCGAGTAGCTGACATGTTTCCGAATGTCAACTCTGAACATGTCATGGTAGCGGGTCTTCATCCTCTACATACTGAGGCACCAATAATGCCCTATCCCTGACTTGGCGGTAATTTCTGCCACTGACTCAGTCGTCCGCCTCGTATCCATAAACTCCCTGGCCAACTGTTGAAACTCCACAGCTGGCGCAAACTCAAACCTAAACCTGGTCACAAAATCCGACCAAGTTATAGCCTCAATGGTTGGGGCTCCCAAAGAATCACTGACCGCCTCCCACCAATCTCGAGCTCGGTCCCTCAAACAACCTGCAGCATACCGGACCTTCGACCCCTTAGGTCAGAAGCTCGTCAACCGAGCAGACTCCATGTCTGCGATCCACCTCCTGGCAACAATGGGGTCCTTCACCCCGTGGAAGTCTGGCGCACCACGTCCCCTGAAGTCCTTGAAGGATAGTGTGCGTGTCCCTGACTGAGTGGCTGCCATGTCACTCCGAAACGCCCTGAGGCGATCCTCCATCAGCTCAATAATCCCTTCCTTGATCGACCCGAAAATCACCGGGGTCGACTCAAGTATGCCTCTCGTGATCTCAGAAGCAATGAACTCACGTAGTCCCTCATCAACTGGCTCGACACCTGATCCCGAACCTGATCCTGAACCTGATCCTGACCCTGAACCTCCCCCTCTGTGTCGCATAATCACCACCATTCTGAAACAAAACACGTAATCGTCAGGGTCATACATAACCTCGAGAGGTCTCACACATCCTACAAGTTCCCTGGTTCTATCTCAGACCTCCTTGACTCGAGTACGGATCCTCTGCTTTCAGTAGTACGAGCCCATACTACCTTCCACATCTATCCATACTTTCCTCAAGGATTGCCTTGACTTCACCAAGTCCTTTCTACTACTACTACTCACTGCACTAATCTTATCCTAGGATTACCCTAGGGTAACTCTCCGACCTACTCTCCGCCATCAGCTGCATAAGGAATCCATGTTACCTTTACCTAACTAGCTTGCGAATACCATTACATATCACTAAGACCAAATAATTCTTCGAATGAGAGGTCCTACCCTACAACGGTTGGACTCAAACAAGAGCTACGAAATAGGGCTAGACCTAACCTTCTGAACTTATTTAGTTCTTGCAATATGTAACTTAACGTATTTGTTTACAAGCTAGTTAAAGATAACTAGAACTCCTAGAAGAACAAAGCAAGCAGCATTCGAGCATTGTGTAACCATACCAAGCATATCCTATTCAGGCCATCATATTACTGACTAATCAGTTCTAGCACATAACTCAATAAGCACATATAGCAGGCATATAAGGCATCTTCCTATATCCCTAGCCCTAATCTAGCATGCAATTCTCATAATCATATCATATCATAACATAACATGTATGGGTATATTGGGGAAAACTTACTTGAGCTCGGCCGGTTGCACGCATCACACACCTTGTTCTTTCTCAAAACTCCTTATTTTAAATTTTTGAAAAACTATTTTTTTTGTAAAGATCTTTCAAACCCTTGATTTGAGTCCAGACACCCCCGAAGGTGTGTCCGAATCCCTCAAACCAAGGCTCTGATACCAACTTGTAACATCCCAAATTTCAAGACCAAAAATTACATTTTTAATTAAGCAATTTATAAAACAGTTTACTGAAAACATCATCAATATGATATCAAACCCATAAACCCATAAGTCAAATGTCATAAAACATGTCATGGAATAATAATGTCAGAGTACAATCCCAAGAACATCATGGTGCGGAAAATAATGGTGTGATGCGCTGCTACCGAGCCGACTCCTTTCCCTTCGAAAAAGAAGTACCTGAAACCAAAACTGAAAACCGTAAGCACAAAGCTTAGTGAGTTCCCCCACCATACCTCGTACCATATAACAAACATTCTGCCAGGCAATTCTGGAGTGCCTGACCTACCCATGTCAAGCCATTTTGGGGTGCTCGATCTACCCTGCCAGGCAATTCTGGGGTGCCCGACCTACCCTCCGGTGTATCTGAACTGGCTACGGGGACTATTTCACCCCTACTACTACTACCATATAATAACATAGCATAAACCTACTGCCAGACAATTCTGGGGTGTCGGACCTACCCATCGGTCCTTACGACCGTGGCACGGGGACTATTCCCCTACTACCACTATCACATATCATCATATCATGCTAGCACATAAAACATATCAGGTAGCAGCAAACCTAGATAATTATCACAAAGACAATCATCTTACAACAACTCCTACTAGTGGGCCGACATTGTGGCTGTAGGCCCACTTCTACTGGAATGTAACTCACCTCAATGTCGTGCAGTAACTAAACTGTCCTCGGTGCTGGGATCAACTCTCCTCAACCTCCTACACATATCAGTCTCCTTTAGTTACTCCTTCATATTCATATCCCCTTTAAGGGTCAATCTTGGATAAAGGTCAATGTCAAAGTCAAAGTCAACGCCCTAGTCAAAGTCAACATCCTGGTTAACTCAACTAGCTGAGTTGATCCATCAACTCGTCGAGTTCCATAATTAAGAGAAACTCGAATTCGCGATCTGACTCGTCGAGTTTCTCCTTATGACAGAATCGGGACTTTCTATTTGAACTCGTCGAGTCCTTCCTTGGACTCATCGAGTTCTCCTTCATACAGTTTGGACATTTGCTCACTGACTCGGGGAGTTCATCCTTGGACTCATCGAGTTATTGACCTTTAAGTCCAAGACACATCTAACTCGTTGAGTTATCTTCAAGACTCAACAAGTTTGCTAAGTAACAGAGAAGGTTGGGGAACCAAGACCCGACTCGCCGAGTCCTATGAACGACTTGTCAAGTATCCCATGACCCAAATCTATACAGTCGATTTCAGTCGGGCTTAACACATCCAAAACGTAGATTTGGCCTCCTAGGGTCGATATCACACGTAAAGTTACAAACTTTACGTTCATGCATGGGTTGTCAAGCTCAAAAGGCCTAAAAATGAGGTTCACAAGGTGCATGGGACTCCGATGGCCATAAAGTTGGCACCTTTATGCCATGGAGTCCCTCAAAGGTTCCAGATCTGAAGTCTTAACCCCAAACATGCTTGCATCCATGAATGGTTCCAAAAATGGTTCCTTAAAGCCCTAAACCAGTCCATGAAGGGATCTAGAAAATGAATAGTCAAGGTATAGACTTTATACCTCAAAAGAGCTGGAAATGGAACACAACCTCTGGATCTACTTGCTTCCTCTTGAACTCCCAAGCTTCTTCTTCCTTTTCAAGCTTCAAAACCACCAAAAATACACAAAAGTGGCTCAAGAACACTCAAAATGGGTTAGGGTTTCGAGTTAGGGTTTTCTGGACTAAGGGAGGCGATGAGGGAGGCCATAGTGGGGGTGCTAAGGTGTTTAAATAGGATGCAAACCCATAAAATTAGGGTTTCATTTTGGCAGGCCTACTCGTCGAGTCGAGGCTCCTCGACTCGTCGAGTAGACATGAAGTCCCGCTTCCAACATATCAAGTTCCTACTCGACGAGTTTGGGGCCTCCAAATCATCGAGTCCCTTAGCAAAAGTGAATAATTTCTTATTTAAATACGTACCAGGACCCGGGCGTTACAAAATCATTCTATTACACCAGCCAACCTTGTATGAACTTCTTGAATTCAAAATAGAACTGAGAAATCATCTCATGCAAATGACCACCTTCCGATTCTGCTATCGAAACCCAATCTTTGCTAAAATCATGTGCCTTGACGAAGAAACAAACTTAACACATCGCCTTTAACCAACAAAGAGGAAGTCCAAATACTCTGCTCGAAATCTGAAAACCTCATTCCATGCCTGACTTCCAGACATAGATAATTATTCAAATATCATCCATAATGACTCTAATATGCAACCCAAATAGACCAAAACCCTTCTGACCCTGAATTATCACACCGATAACGGGAAAATAGAATCCCTGACCATTCGTTGATGTCGATAACCTTGCACTCGCATACAAGAGCGACTCCCAACACAAGTCTCAACCATTGGTCCCATACCAATACACACACACACACACACACACACATATATATATATATATATATATATATATATATATATATATATATATATATAGGAGTAGGATCAAACGAGAACACCTAAAAGGTTGAGAACGCGAGAAAAGATCTGGACCATTTAAATATATAAATCTAAGGTTATTATTAAACGGGCGATTTATGAAAAAGTCTAAAACTACTGGCATTAAATTGTAACCTTTAAATGGCTAGAAGGCCATAATAGGAATTGCAAATTTACCCATTTCCTATAATTTCTCACCCTCTCCCCTCTTTCCTTTCATATTCCCGTATCTTTATCCCCCTCACACACACACACACACACTCTCTCTCTCTCTAGGGTTTCATAATAAACCGCCTCCCTCTATGAATTCGGTTCCCTTTTATTTCCTCTCTTCTGCCGGCGATACAACACCAATGACCGTCGATGTTTCCCGCACCCTAGTCGCCAGATTCGTCATTGAATTACTACTAAAATGGCTCCACTGTCGTCTTATGCCAACTTCTAGTTTGAATCCACGTATCAAATCAGCAGCATCAGATTCCAGTTCCACGACAATCATCGACGATCCGACATCGGCTTCCGCTTCAGAAGAAGAAAGTCCAGCGAAGATCGAGGCTAGGGTTAAGGTAAAGGTGTCGTTGAAGGTTTATCATATACCGAAAGTACAAGTAGAATTGAACGGGAAGGAAGGTGAAATTAAAGAATACGTCGTTGTTTGGAAAGAGAAGTAGACTTCAACTAATTATCCTTACAAAATTGAGTTCCTAGAGAAACTTGAAGGGTGTGGCGATGCTCCTGTGAAGTTCTTTGCGCATCTTAGAGATGATGAGTCACCACCACCGTGTGGAAAACTGGGATCAAGGGTAACCTCCTCTTTCAAAATTCCAAGGGTATTTTCGTCTTTGTAGGGTGGTTTTACATGTGATAATTGTTTAATCAAAAAAGAATGTTTGATTATGTTCGTTATAATCATTTATGATTATAAATATTGTTGTCCATATGAGTAGAAGACACCGATAATAATCATTTATGATTATAACTATTTGCAAAATAAACGATTAGATGACGAGTTATAATTATTTATGATTATAACACCATATGATTTTGATACCAATCATTCATTTTAATATTTTTTTTATCATTTTATAGTATTTACATAGTATTGTCATATTGTAGATATTGATTTTGCTACCAACCATGCCAAAAGTCAATTGTCAAAGTCAAAGTCAAGGTCAACTGTCCAAGTCAACCTCAGGGAATCGCCATGTCATGGCATTCTAATGGCCACGTCGTGGTAGAATTAGACAAAATAGTCGTCATGACCCCCAGTCGCCACGTCATGACGACTAGATGCCATGTCGTGGGAATCACGTCTCAACAACTTAATGAATTAAGTTGTTTTCCATCCATTCTATGAGCTCCAAAGCTTAGATCTGATTCTTACCAAGGTCTTGATGGATAAAGTTTTCAACTTTATCCATTAAGACATCCCAATAAGTAGAGATGCACAATAAAACCGGATTCACCCATAGGATCCGATCTGATCCGAAAACCAGATTTGGTCAAAGCCGGTTTTGACCGAACCGGATCGGATAAACTCGTCATCGGATCTAAAACGGTTTGGGATTTCGGATAAGCAATCAGATTGGACCCCAAATCAGGAACCGTATCTTCGAAAAACCGGATCGTAAACTGGTTTTTCTTATGACCGTTAAAAAACAGGAATATTCGAAAAAAAAATTATATCCGTTAGAAAATGGTAATAAACAGCTGTAATGCCAATTTATGTCTTTTTTGACCCCCTTAATAGTTAATACATATAAATAGATGGTATTTGCTAGATTTCAACCCACATATATTATCAAATCTTCTAGTTTGTTAACACTAAAAAAATGAGCTCAAGAAATTCTACCGCCGCCGGTGGTCAAGAATCGGATGTAACGGTGGTGAAAATATTACCAACCGGTCGGAATAAAAAAGTGTGGGAACATTTTGATACGGATCTATTGTCGAACGGGAAGGAAAAAGCTCAATGCAAGAAGTGTGGGTTGTTAATGGGTAAAGATGACAATAGTACTTTGAAGAGTCATGCAACTAAAACTTGTCCGGTTGTAAAAGGTCAAGGTGATTTGGATCAGCCGAATATTACTCCCGGCGGGGCAATTTTTATGTACAACAATGATGATATTCGTGAAAGCTTATGTAAGTTCGTGATTCAAGAGAGATTGCCATTCAACCACCTCGACAACCCATAGTTGACAAGGATTTTGCGGGAAAAAATGCAACCACAATATCGGCAAGTAAGTCGCACTACTCTTACACGTGATGCTATAAAGTATTGGGGTATAGCCAAAAAATACATGCAATTGATATTTTTAAATATAAAAACCGGTGTTTCTTGGTCCTCCACCAGAAGTTGTCCCAAAAGTTATCTTGCCGTCACGACACATTGGATAGACCCCTCTACTTGGGTAATAAACAAACGATTTATTGCTTTTGAACTTTTTGCACATCCTCATACTGGATCACAATTATTTGCAATTTTAGTAAGAGTTATAGAGACTTATAACTTAAGCGACAAAATCTTCTCTATTTCGTTTGACAATGCAAGTAACAATACCATGGCCGCAAAAAGATTAATTGTAAAATATAAAACTATTTTGGTTGGCTCATTTTTCATACTCAATGTGTTTTTTTGGACGTGTTAAAAGTTTTGAAACAATCAACAACTTTTTTATCGGTCGTGTATTATCCTACAAGTCATTTGTTACTAAATGAGTTATGGTTGATGTCCGCACAATTGGAACGTTTTGAACAAAGAAGTGAAATATATGTTTTGGTTACGAGACCAATGAGCGCAAAATTAGTCAAATATTTTAAAGAAATGCCACCACCTTTTACTTGCGCTGCGGGTTTAAACCCGTGTATCAATGTTACGGGCATAGAGGCTTTACTTACCAAAATTTTCATCTCTTTAAATTTGCAAAAAGATGATTCTAACTACATCCGTAACCAAATCAACGATTTCAATAATACTTTTACTAATTTGACATTTACGCTAGAAAATATGGCGAAATGCCACACTCTTTTACCGGTGTATCCGATGCTACTAGTGGTGCATCGGGTAGTAGTGGAGGTCGAACGAATTTTCATATCGATCTCTATAACTACATTTTGGAGGAACAAAACAAACGAGCATGTACATTAACCCCTAGTAGCGAACTTAGAATTGGCTCAAACTTTTTAAAATTCATGAGTGCACCACAATTTAAAATTTTGGATCTTTTGACTTGGTAGAGAGAAATGAAGCACAATTTCCTATTCTCTCCGTCAAAGCCTGCGATTTACTAACCGTCCAAGCTTCCATGGTAGCTTCGGAATCTGCTTTTTCTTTTAGTGGTAGAGTTTTATCAAAGTTGAGAACGAATCTTACTCCGATTGCGGTGGAGGTTTGCGTTTGCTTGAAGGATTACTTGGATTTAGTGGAATGTACACAACACTTGGCATCAGGCACACTAGCGGATAATGTCGAATCAGAGATAATGGAACAAGAATATGAACAAAGCTTATCAACGCCTCCAGAACTAAAAGATGATGATCATGATGAAGACGAATACAAATATGGAGAAGAGGGTATTGATGAGACCCATATCCATTTGTGTGGCGGTTTAAGAACAATTTAGTGAAGGTGACACGAAGTAGAAGACCACAAAATTTGAAGACTATTTGGCAAAAATGTTATAACGTCACTTTATTATTATTATTAGTTAACTAGTGTGACAACCCGAAATTTCTCTCATTATTTTTAACCCGTTTCCTGTAATAAAATTTAATCTTATTAAATTTTCCGTCAACTTCTTGGGTTAAGTAAATCAACTAGGGATATAATTAAAATTCTATACGATTCGGAATAAACCGGGAATCACGCGAAAAACTTGAAACTTCCTCGAAAATCACCGAGTTCACGGTCAGGACGAGTTTACGACCGTAAACTCGTGTAGACCGTAAACCCGTTTATGGTCGGTGCCGGGTGGACCCCCTTGACCGAGAACTCTACCCTATATATAGAGTATATGGCCTTCATTTCACCCTTTACACACTTCAAAGGCTTTCTCTCTCTACTCTCTCTCTACCTTCATCAAGTTTACTCAAGGAAAACCCTCAAGAAAGTAAGTGATTCCTTCCTTTGGGTGTTAATCCTTCCTATATTCATGATTCACTCTTGATTCATCCAAGGATTTCATCTTTTTTATCTACATCTTCAAGAATCCTCAAGAACACCTTAGTGTTTTGGACCGAAAACACCTCTCTCTGCCTTCAAATCGTAAGTATCATTCTCTTATACTTATATCTAGTTAGGATTCTCGAGTTTTGCCTTGAAATCGTCACTTTTCAATGAACAAAAGTGTTTACGGTCTAGTGTATCTCCTTAGACCGCCTCCGGACGTTTCCGCCGTTATTTTTGACGGTTCGGGGGTGTGACAGATTGGTATCAGAGCTATTGTTTATAGTGAACTAAGTATACCGAACCTTACATGGTATACAACTATAAACACTAAGGGGCCTAAGTGCTCTAAACTAAAAGTATACTTTCAAAAATATAAGCATTTTTATAAAAACATACAAGTATACCCAAGTACCCGAATCAGTGTCGTAAGTAGAACAAAACAGAAGTATTTGGATGTTGGACATCATGGTTAAAACCTGGGCAGTTATGTAATCATGTCTAGGATCAATATAGCCTGATCAACTGTATTCATTCGAGACATGACCAACATGTGCTTGGGAGTGACTGTGGTGTTGCAGCAAGCCTAAAACTTACCTAAATACCAGAAGAATTCTAGAATCAAACATAAGGGTCAAAATACTATAGGAGTATTTTAGGATGTTATAACGACCGAACTAGAAACTTAGCCAAGAATCAATCATATATCTATAATACACTGGAAGTATTATTAGAGTCAATGCCTATTAACTATCCCTTTACTCGCGTAGATAGCATGGCCGGATTCCATCTCCCTGGTGACCCGTACTTTCCCAACCAAGGAAATGGTGGATGGCTCGATGATGAGCCAGAAGAACCTGCAATTCCCTTAGATGATCATTCCGCCGAGAACTATTCGGAAGGCTCCGACTCCGAGCCCGAAGTCAATAATCTACCCCCGGTGGCTCCTGTCCCAAATCCTAACCCTCGTCCGGTTTTTCAAGGCCCGACGACTCCATGGGTGGAAAGCTTGGAAATGTGGAGTCAAGAGCAGGATCAACCTATACCCTTCAATGGAGACAGAAGCTTCTACGACCTGAGCGCAGGAGGCTCAGCAGATAGAGTTCTCGCAATCCTGGTCCGCAGGGTGCTAGGAACGAAATACAAGGAAGGACAGCCCTCAACCAAATCATGGAAATGGATGCCAATGCGAGAATGCATACAATTCGCACCATTCGTCTTGAAGATACTCATGAGAGGGTTATGGGTGACAACGAGATTCTGCGGCGAGAGCTCGCTGCAACTCGAGCTGAAGTCATAGAACTCCGAGTACGCCAAAGAGTATTCGAACGACACCTTCTTGACATGGAGCGCCAACTGGCTAACTTAAGGATTCGTTCGAGGAGTCCCCGTCGTTAGAAGGAATTACTCTACTCATCCTTTCTTTTAGTTAAGAATAGCCTTCCTACTTATGCTCTAAGTAGCACTTTTTCCCGTAAACATCTCTGTATTACAAGTACTGTTTTG